TGTGTGTGTGTGTGTGTGTGTGTGTGTGTGTGTGTGTGAGAGAGAGAGAGAGAGAGATAGAAAGAGAGTCTCTACAATGACAGGTAGTACTCCTTAACCATTCTCCTAAACTGACAAACCGACTGAGCACGCCTCACCTCCAACGGTAGGGCATTCCACAATCGAGCCGCTTCAATGGTAAAAGATTTATCAAAGAAAGAGGTCGAATGCAAACGGATGCTCAGCTTAAGGTTCCTCGATGATCTCAAGGACCTCGAATGTGTGTCTCCAAGAAACTGAAAACGTTCTTTCAAGTAGGAAGGGGAAGCAGGATTGAAGAGAATATTATAAAGTAAGGATAGGATATGAGTATTCCGGCGAAGGCGAATAGGCAGCCATTTGAGCTTATTTCGAAATTCTGAGACGTGATCATACTTGCGCAGTCCAAATATGAATCTAATTGCTAGATTTTGAAGCCGCTCTAGCTTGTCCAATTGTACTTGGGTAAGATCAAGATAGCTGGCATCAGCATAGTCAAGTATAGGCAGAAGGAGAGATTGCGCTAATGTAATTTTGGTGGCAGAGGGTAAAAAATTACGAAGCCGCCTCAGGGAGCCCGCTGAAGCAAATAATTTGCGACTTACCATCTGCAACTGCTTAGTCCAAGAGAGAGAACTATCCATGTAGATCCCCAGGTTCTTAACTTCACGCGAGAAAGGAATCTTTGTACCAAGAAAAGAGACCTGAGGCAGGCCAGTCCAATCTATCCTGGAAATGTTTCGCGTACTACCGACCAGAATCACTTGGGTTTTGGAGGGATTGACTTGAAGTCCAAAGTTCATGCTCCAGTCTGCAATACGCGCCATGTCACGATTAACCAAAGCAATCGCATCCGGCAAATCGTCAAAAGTAGACTGAGTGTAGATCTGGAGATCATCCGCGTAAAGGTGGCAGGAAGAAGAAAGATTTTGAGTGATAGAGTTAATAAACAGCGCGAAAAGTAACGGAGATAAAACGCCACCCTGTGGCACGCCGGCAGCAATGGAACACCATGAAGAGTAGGTATCCTGAGTGCGAATCCGCTGTCGGCGGCCAAACAGGTAACTGCGGAACCAGTCAACTACCGATGGAGATATGTTAAGAGAGCTCAACACAGCTAGCAAGATGTCGAGGTCCACAGTAGTAAAGGCATTACTAAAGTCGAGCAGCACAAGTACCGTAAGCTTCCCCGTCTCCATGCCTAGTCTGATGTCGTCTGTAATATTGACAAGGGCCGTGGTAGTGCTATGACCGGGTCGAAAACCAGATTGATAAGGACTAAGGAGATTATGTGACGAAAGGTACATGCTCAATTGTTGATGAATAAGTTTTTCGAGGATTTTGGATAGGAAAGGTAGAATAGATATAGGACGATAGTCAGAAAAGCACACAGGATTTGGTTTTTTGGGAATGGGGACAATATTAGCCTCCTTCCAACATTGTGGGAAAACTCGACTAGTTACAGAAAAGTTGAGAACGTAAAGGATAATGGGAATAAGTTCATCGAGGATAGGAATGATCATCTTCCGGCCAATACAGTCACCACCAACGGCATTGGAAGTTGTCGCTAAAATGCATCTCTTAACATCACATTCAGTAAATTGACGTATGACAAGTTGAGAAGCTTCGGGCAACGGAAGTTGTGAAAGACCTTTTAATGTAGCAGCTTTGGTGGCCCCATCTAAGGAGGGCGAAGTTGAGAAGTGTATATTAAGAGAATTAATGTCTACATTTCTAGGAATAGAATCTGGTTCAGATTTACCGATGCCCAAAGATTTAAGGAATTTCCAAACTTTAGCTGGATCACTATCTTCAATAGATTTATGGATATATTGGCGTTTAGCATTCCTGCACACCTTGTTGCAGTGATTCCTGATGGTGACATAATTATTTCTATTTTTGTCATTTGGTTTAATTTTAAATTTGTACTTCGCTGCGGATTTTTTTGCGATAAGATTTTTTACCTCCTCAGTTAGCCAAGGAGTAGGGTGATGTTTGACCCTAATAGCCCGAACAGGAGCGTGCTTATCGTACAGCTATATAATTTGATAACGTAATGTGTGGAATATGTAAAATTATTTAAACACGATATACGATGAATTTAAATCAATCGTCACTCTCATGTCTACCTATTAAAATTTTCCAATAAAGACAGTGGCGAGTAAAATGTGTAGTTGTTGTTAACCTTCCGTCAATTTCAAGCCTGACTCAGGAATTTTTGGAGTCAAAATATATTTCTTTTATCTTTAATAAACAACCTATCCCACGAACATTTCAGAGCTCCTGTTAATCTTCGAAACTAATCAAATATAGTTTCCATAGAGAGGTTGACTAGATAATCATTTCTCTCTATTTGCATTGGTGTAGCGTCGGCCTGAACTTGTTTATAAACTTTTAAAACACAGGACTGTTCAATGTGGATCTGTTTTAGCAGAACCAAAAGACGACATAGGTTGAGCCCCTCTTAATATAAACTGACATTATGTGTCGTTGTAGGTGTAGTGTACATATCCTTCCAAGTTCAAGATTAAAGGTCAAGTTGTGAAAACATGTTCCGGTCAATTTGTGAGTGCCCTGTGCTTTTATTGATTAATGGACAGCAACTTGTTATGTAGCATACCTAGAAATAAAATCATCTCTTACCTCACTGTTCCCCATAAGTCAAGGTAGCTCCTTGGGTTGAGTCAGTAACATAATATAATAGTTGTTTATAAACTAAGCTGGAAATTGCAAAAAACACATCAAACATTAACATTCGCAAACTGCCTTAAAACATCGCCCTTTGTGTGTATTATACCTAGGCAAAATTACAGTACACATATCGCCGAAATCAACCTCGGTCGGCCAGCAAAGAGCTATCAGGTACTTAGAAACTATTGACCATAAATCAATCATTAGCCCAGTAGATACCTATATAATAACTTTGACGTCAAATAAAATTGCCGATTGTTTTATAACTAAGTACTTATTTTAAGAAAAAATATCCTCCTATCCTTTGTAATCAATTGAATCCAAGTTATGGAATTATCTCTAGGAAGTAAATTGGTATGCGAACGCGTCATCTAAGTATTTATAAAAGTCTATTATTACTTATCGATTTCTTGGGTGTTTCCTGTTTCATCCTCCATGTCGTTGCCAAGAAATATAGGTAAACACTGTATTGACAATATATATTATAAACCTTTTATCCAACTATAACGTACGAAAACCCGAAAGTCTAGCGCTAGTCATTGAGTGCTAATGGCATTTTTATTATCACGGTATAGACAAATCTCTACTTAAGGGTATATGAATTCCTGGCTAATGAAAATAAAATGCCTACCTGCAGATGTGCACTTATTTCCTATCACTTTCCCAGCTTTCACCTAAACGTTTTCCTATTTTACTAAATAAATGATGCGATTTGGATTAATCTGAGGTGACGAAGTCATGATTTTTTGATCTTTGACTAAAGATAGCTCATTACCCACATAAGGACTACATACTAAGCAAAAAATAAAGTACGATTGAAAGCTGCACTAAGATACAATAATACTTAGTATATGCATAAATGCAGGATGTTCACTTGTGTGGCCTTCACGTATTCTATTCTTAAGCTCTTATAAAAGGTAACCAGTTAATGTCATATTCTACAACGATGAGCCGCACACTGCGCGACCCTTTATCACGTGGGAAGCCTATAGTGTTCAGTATTATGTACGTAGGTATCACATCACTTTGGTGTCTATTCAAAACGTGACTAGTGGCGCAATCTACCACCCTTCTTAAGCAATATACACGTTTCTTTTATTAGTATCAATCAGTTTATATATTTTTTTTTTTTTTTTTTTTTTTTTTTTATTGATTATAGGTTCGCGCTTGACCGCTATCTCACCTGATGGAAAGCGACGATGCGGTCGACGATTTCCTCATATTGCGTGTTTGGATTAAGTTTTGAGTGTGATAATAGCTGCACACGCTCCCTACATATGGGTACATAAATATGTACCTACATGGGTAATGTTTTATTGCATAATCATCAGCCGGAATTGTGGGGCCAGGTTGACTTTGGTTCATTGCCGAACGGCTTTTATTCAGTAATTGGGTAGCTTCCTAGGTCAAAAATAAATTAATTCGAAGTTTCAACACAATAAAATTTTGAAAAATAATTATATATACTTTTATTCATCGATCGATCGATACACTAAGTTTTAGATTCTTTTAGCTAATTATTAAGAAATAAATAAGCTGTTTGACGCAAAAATGTTATGACGTCATAACTCAGTTTTTCATGGAAATTTCATAAAAAAGTATTGTTTAAATTATAATATTGGATAAAAGTATTGAATTTGACTAGTTGAAAACTACAGTATTTACACTCCATGTAGAATAACTGCTTACCATTTCCATGTATATGCTTCCAGCTACATTGCCATGCCGTTGTTCACCTGGTGGAAGACTTGCTCACACTCTCGGGTCCGTACCTAATCTCCACTGAAGCTCTTTCCTATTAGCGTCATTCCTTCGAGCAACGTGGCTGGCGTATTGCTATTTTAGGCAACAAGTCTATCCTCATATACTTACTGCAAGAAATGTGTAACTTAAAAGACATGTTATTATTATCGATGTTAAAGAATTAATATCGATTTGTCTATAATCGTTGCTGTTGCTATCAGTACTTACTTACATTAGTACTTAGGGAAAGTAAGTATTACTTATTTATTGACACATTATTCATTGAGTTACAGAAGTGATCCCCGAAAATTCTACAAAACTTTATATTTTGGTCAAGTTTAAAATCAAAATATTTGTTAATGATATTGTCAAAAGATGAAATATTAGTCCTGAGTGGGTCCAAGGTCGCGTTTAGACGGATACCCAATTCAGTAACGGATCAGTCTTATTTGTAATTTTCAGCTTCTACACATAAACTTACAAACGCCAATAATAACAACACACACATTAGAACACAACAATAAAAATTAAAACAACGTCTAGTTAAAAACTTTATAATGTTTATTTCGCAGCATATATTCCTTAAGGTCATATAAAGAAACTATAACATTTATATTTAAAAGATAAAACAGGGCTCGCTCAATACAATGTAGGCGTTAATTCATTGGAAGTATTCGAAATAAGATTAGAATAATCAACATTTATTATTTTACAAAAAAATGAAAATAGAAAAAAGAAAACAATACTAGAAGGTAATTCGACTAATACAGGCGATTTATCGTTGCTCTGCACATTACATCGATGAAGCACAAATTCAAAAAAACTAACTGCTCAACAATCAACGTTTACGTCTAACTAACACGCCAAAATCCAGAAAATTAATTATCAAAGCTTTTTGTGCAAGCGCTGTTTCAAGGTAGATTTAATTAAGTATTCATTTATCGGCTAGTTTTGTGCGAATCTAGTTAAATAGAAAAATACACCAATTACTTATTGGTTAAGAATCAATGGAAAATACTAAAAAATAATGTTACTACGGGCACAAGAATGTGGTCGATGGAAGTACCTATATGAAAAATCTAAACTGAATATTTGCCAGAGCTCGCGCGTAAAAATATAACAATTCGATTATGTTAAGTTTAGCATTTAAATTTTGTACTTATAAGGTGGCTATAAAAATAAATATCGCTTTGGTTAGGGTATCAGGCTGATGGCTCGCGCGCAAGGTTAATATTATATCCCATGTGCGTGCGAGATCTTATCACTTGACTAACGTTCTGCGAAGTGTTCGACAACATAGTTTTTTTCCACTCGCACATTAATTATTATAACTCCGAGTTAATGAACTCTTTGCTGTTTGTCTTGTCACGACATGACCAGCTATTGCTCAAACCTGCAAGCACAGAACGTGACGTATGCCCACATACATATGTAGGACATCAGCCACGGTTGTTGGACGAATCCATTCCAGTTTACTAGAATGGTTACAAATTGTAGATACCTTCTTCATTCTTTTGACGGCTGACAAGTTCATAAGGCACTAAGTAAATCAAGATTATACGCAAAGCAAGAACATGTTTAGTATTTTCGAGCTTATAGACGTAAGTCGCATAGGAAATAAAACTATTTTCCCTTAGCTCTGTAAATTTAATACACAAAGCGCTACCTTAATTAATCTTCGCTATTTATAAGATCACAACACAGTGAGGTAACTACTTCGTTATTTTTTCTCACAAAGTGCGGGGTTGCTGTACTCATACTTAAATTAAACATTTACTTGATTATCATTTTTATGTTTTATAAATATTTTTGTGACACGAACGCCTATGTCCAGTAGCAAAAATACATTGAAATACATGTCCCGAAAGGAATTTTCTTATGGAGCAGATAACTTTAGCACAACTACAACTAAGATTTATTTACACAGTTACGCATAGCTTTCACTACACCTATATAATAACCATTCAATTGCAATCAACAAGGATTGATAACTTTTTAGACCAACACTGTTGCTCCTATCATTTTAATAGGCTGCTAATTTTAAAGTCCTACTAAAAACACTACATCACATACATTAAAAATATCAATTCTCTGGACAAAAAATTATGCATTTAAAATATACATATATATATAGTTACTATGTTGGTGTAAATATTTAATTTTTTATGTAATATATTGCTACAGTTTCGAGGCACTTTTTTATAGAAAACAATGATTAAAGTATTATAACTCAACACTTTATCGGGTACTACACGCAGACATTGGGGTACTGTTCGCATAATAATGGAATGTCATTAGCTGCCTAGATTCAAAGCTTTGTGATAATAATTTTCTGGATTTATACGCAACATTCATGTCGACTTAATCACGATGTCTACTATTAACTTTAGGGAAGTGGGCGGGAGCGCTCCGTAGCTTTGTACCTGCGCTTCGCTTTTAAATTTCAGGATCTATTTTTTATCCGATGATCTGTAATACATTATTCTATTAGTATATAAATAAATCTAGATTAGAAAGTGACTACCACTAGGCTTTATGATGTTTAACCTAAATAAATGTCATTAATTCACCTGATTACTTACTATTACGTGGAAGAACAAGGGCTTGGCTGTCGGAAACAGTACAGCAGTGTAGGTTGTTGTGGAACATGTACTGAATGGTCAAGTGCTTGTCGTCGCCAACGCACGGGTCGTAGAATCCGGGCAACTCAGACTGGGGACAAATAATATATTGATTTTATAACAATCTATTACTATAGATACTTATAAATTACTTAAATTTATACGATGTGGTAGTTTCCAACTAATCAAGTTCAATATTTTTATTGAAATGACCAAAAGCTATACTTTTCTATGAATTTTGTATGAGATCGCAACATATGACGTCATAATGTTGTTACGTCTAACAGCATAATTATTGTTTTAAAGTTAAAAATAGAATATCTAAAATTAAGTTTATTGAAATCAATGAATGAAAGTATGATTATATTCTAATAATTAAATGTATTGAAAATACACTATACTCGGAATTTTAATTCCATTCCAGATTTGACAATTTCAGTGTTGCAACGTTATGACACGTAATAAATAGTGACGTTGCGAAATTATTCGATATGGTAATCGAATATTTCTGAATCGATTCCTCTCGTTTATAAATTTACTCTCGTAAACTAAGTTTATCAGGAAATAAAATATTTCTGAACCGATAATTTAGTTTTGACAATTGTTTAACTATCTGAGACTTTTCTTTTGTAATTGCAGACAGAACAAGCAACTAATAATATGTTAGCATTTACTAGATTTTTCTATTAAGCTGATATGCAGCTTGTGTTAATGACCTGTGTAGTAGTTACGTATTCTCGTCACATCTGGACGCGATTACCAAATGGTAGACTACACAAATAGAAATATGGTAAAACGGGGTAAAGATAATTCGAGGAGGAGCAAAAGAGGGGTGAATAGACACTAGGAAAAATCGTCAACATCTATTCACCCCTTTTGTGGATCTATTTACCCCTTTTATGTATCTTTTCCCCCCTTTTGTGTATTCATTCACCCCTCAAATTCATTTCACCGTTTTACGGTACTCAATACTTGTCAAATTAATGACAGTGCATGAAACTGATGGTGCACAATTCAGTTACACAATCAAAAGCGGATTTATTTCCTTTAATAACTTTTATCTTCGATTGTTAAAATTGTTCAAGCTCACTTTGCTTAGATACTTATTAAAATTAAATAGTATGTTGTTGAAATATAATATAACTAAGCAATATTATTATTATTTTTTTAAATATCAGCACGTTTATTATTTACCTGAAACACGTCGGCGCTGTTTTGACTTTGTTTACACAATAAGATTTATTTTGTAACCGGCCTTTATACAGGAAATAATGATTTATTATTCATCATCATCAGCCTGTAAGTGCCCACTGCTGAGCAAAGACCTCTACACGTTGAAGGTTTTAGCATTCATCACTACGCTTACTGAAGGCGGATTGGAGATTTTAAAATTATAATAATAGTTATAAATTATAAGTCTAGAATTCCTCACGATATTTACCTTCATCGTTTGTCAGTAATAACTAAAAGATCTAAGAAAGCACGCATAACTCGGAGAAAGTTACATTAGTACATTACCGACTAGATCGCACATAAAACTAGCAAGTAATCTAAAAGCAAGAAGCGTAGTATTATCAGAGTACAATAATGTTATAATTTACAATCAACATCTATATCAATGTTGATTCCAGATATTAAACATTAATCCTATTCATTTAGTCTCGGCTAAATTTTCCATAAATAGTTATTTCAAAAATTGCTGCTATTTATAGGCAGCGGAGTAATTTCATACATTCGTTGTAGTCATGCGGGTTATTACCAAACAGGCATATTATGGGGGCAAACCAACTATTTATATAATAGCTATCATTATCCGAATAACTTCCGACGATAATTATGTTTACATCGCGATGCTAATTTGTTATAGACTATTGGTAGGATATTAGTAAAACAAAATTAAGTAATTATATTGTTTTTGAGTGCAGGTTTTTTTCTTTTCTCGCTTTGGGCTAGGTTAGGGCGATTACACACTCTTACAGACTAAAAAGTATCCCGTTAAGAGCCAGTTAATTTATCAAGAACTTTATATATTGTCCCAAATGCGAAAACGTAATATTAGTACCTGTCTTAAGTCTTAAAAAATATCTGTTAAAAAACCGGATTGCTCTAGCTAGAGAGAGAGGCTGATTAAGGTTGAAGGTTGAAGATAAATTTTGTCCGAATACCAGTAAACTGTTCTCTATTATAAAAAATAATCAAATTATACATGAGGTGCTATTTTAAAAAAAGTTCCAACAAATTCCAAAAGGATATCATCCATTTAACACACTGCTCTATGATATGAATAGAGGAATATGGTCACGTGTGGTCACGTAATATGGTCAAACAACAAACGTTGGCATTTTCATTTAATCCTAGGGCACAAATATCTCAGATACAATCCAAGGCCAAGTATTTGATTGGTAAATTATACACTGCACTGTTTAATAGCGCGTGCATTGAAATGTTTTCCATGAATCATGTGGATCAATGCATGTTACATGTGTAGTACAAACTGGCTTCATTTTTTCTTTATAGTTTTATTGCACTGTTGACGCAGAATTTATTTTCTTTAATATGTTTAGTTTTTAAATCAATTCAATAAGTTTTCTCTTATTGAATGGATGTGAAAACTAAACGTATTTAACTTTTTTTCAAACGAAATTGATCTCTATATGCAGGCATATTACAAAATATAATCATTTTATTGATTTTTTTCATTGCAAATTATTTGAATTAATTATTACGTTTTCGGCTTACTCACGTAATAATTTGACGAGATACTCGACTAGTTTCAAGCCATGCTAGAGGCCCATACGCGGCGACTTGAGTAGCAGCGCGGCAGTCGCCGCGTCACGTGTCGCGGAATGCTGCTCATGAATATGGGCCTCTAGCATGGATTGAAACTAGTCGAGTATCTCGTCAAATTATTACGTGAGTTAGCCAAAAACATAATAATTAATTTAGAATGTGTCACGAAAGTTACAATAACAACATTATTTGCTTAAAATTTTTTTGTAACCGCTTGTGAATACTGGTTAAGAAACCACTAGAATGTTGGTTTGCCCGTATAGGCAACTCTATAAGCCAAAATGTTAAGAAGCTGTTGGTATACCTTTAATTATTGAATAAAACTGTCGATTTCGACAATTCATAAAAAATACCTATTGAATATGAAGTGTTCTCAAATCGCAAAACGTTATTTATTTTTAAAATCATGCATAGTTATTTAATCCCTGAAGTAAAGTAGTAGTGGTAAGAGCAACCTGTAGCTACCCACAAATCGAGTGCAATTATACAAAGCATTGAAACACAAATGACGGTAATATACGTAGTCTCCTCTAAAGCTTTTGTATTTGGTACCATGGAATCACGTGAAAAGAACAAACGGATATATTCAGAAAATTGTTCTCTGTCAACAATTGTATAAGGTACATTGTTGCACTAATAAATGGTAGCATAAGATGATGAGAACTCCACAATGTTTTGTCCAGAGCAATTTCACAAATAACTACTCGGTAGTTGTTACGGAAAACGTGTCCTATTGTTAGGCGGCCCGCCTACCAGCGAGAATTAATGTAGGAAAAATCCACCATGTTATTTAACAGACTATGGAAACTGAAGTAATATAAGAATGGATCAAATATAGACAACATAAGTATTACATTTTTGTACGTTATTTTAGAGTTACCATTCGGCTTAGTGATTGAGCAACCGAACCGAACTGCTGTGCAACGTAACACGGGTTCTAATGCTACAGCGAACAACTCTTCGTATCATCCACTAGCTTCAGCGGTGGCATGTTTCTTGAGCGTACTGCTCGTAACGTTCCGCGCACGTCTCAAAGAGCTAATAGACCGCTACAAATGGGACTTAACATGGCCAATGCTTAGCCGTTGTCACGCGTCAAGCCCAATACGTTACTGCGACCACCCCCTAAAGTACGAGAAGGAACGGAGGCTTTTTAGTCGGTAAGAATCTGATATTCGCTTTTACTATACCCATGGTAAGAGAAGTATTTTGATGATCTTCCCGTCATATAAAAGCGGTGTCATGTCAGTTTATGTAGACTAACTTACAGAAGAATACGAAGTGTGAAGTAACGTTTATTAAAAAATAATGTTTCCAAGCTATAAACTAATATGGCCTGCCCCGATGGATAAGCCAGTATGCTATTTCATGATATAGCTTGTGAATTCTATCTATTTCTTAACATATTTTATTTCGTAACAAACACGATGACGACATTCATTTTTTTAACTTCTTGTGAGGGCGTTTATGGTTCAGTAATTATAAGAATACGAGAGAGTATTTGAGTAAATAATCATAACAAACAATATTTAGAAAATATATAAAATAGTAGTTACCTTGCTTGCTTCGAGCAGTTCTAACCGAGAGTCCTTAATGAGACACTGCACCGGTATGGTGACGTCTATCACTTCGCTCATCATGGTGGGACTTTCCGGTGATATACCGTCACCAGTTTGTTCTGCTCCTATTTCGTGGGCTGAAGCACCTGTCAACAAATATATTTATATTTATAACTCATATATCTTTTAAAGTTTACTCACTATACTCGGAATTTTAATTACATTCCAGATTTGACAATTTCAGTGTTGCAACGTTATGACAAGTACTAAATAGTAGTAGTTAGTATAGTAGTAGTAATAGTAATAGTAGTAGTTGCGGAATCGATATGGAAATCGAATATTTTCGGATCGATTCCTCTCGTTTATAATTTTACCCTTGTAAACATAAGTAAGTATATCAGAAAATTAAATATTTCTGAACCAATAATTTAGTTTTGACGATTAATTAACAATCTGAGACATTTCTTTTATAATTTTGTGTGTAATAAATAAAAAAATGTGTCAGATTAGTCTTATATATATATATAATAATATTATATATAAGAATAAATTGTTAAGAAGTTTTTATTCAACATTCTGCTAGCCTAACTAATTGTAATCGGCACTCAAAAAAATGGCATGGTTACAATTTTACTAAACACTAAAAAGTTCAGTTCAAGCAAAGATCCACTGGAATACTATTTATTTTCGTGTAGGTAAGTATCCTGTGGAGCAGGACCAGCGTATCTCCAAGCATCACAAGTTCACTTTACTTTCTTAAACCTCAGACTAAAGCAAAAAACCAAAGCGATTGTTTATCGATTTTTGTGTTCATCACTACACCATTAGGTGGTTATCATCATTACCACCATCTAATTTACTATTTGCTGTGCCCATCAGGGTCCATGATTGTTACTATACATATTATTACCATCTTATCTTACATTGTGGATGCAATAAAGAATTATGATTATGATTATGATTATGATTATAATGTGGTATCATTATTTCACAAAATGACAGTATTCAATGTCAAATGTGGAATCGAATTAAAATTCTGCCTATAGTCAAATGTTTGAAAAAAAATCTGAACTAGTTTGAAGTCACAACAGAACAAGTCACGTGATTCACGCAACTTTGCGCATGCGCAGCTATTTATAAATAATGACCATAAGACATCTCTATATTATTACACGTAGATATACTAGCGAAATCTCACCGAAAACCCCCACATATCAAATTTCGGCGGAATGTTAGGGCCATTTCTGAGATCACATGCCTTTTCAGGCTGATTTGTGAATCTAAACCTTCAAGGGCGGCAATCAAACGCATACAAAAATAATCATGTAAATCGATCAAGCCGTTTAGGAAGAGTTCAATGACATAGACACGTACAGCAGGATTATAAATATATAACAAGATTTAATTTTATAATATTATGCTAATTGCGATTAATTACGTATTTCTATATTACTTGATGACGAGCTATTCAAATTATTCATGTTGTTTTTTTATTGACAAATATTGAGGTAATTTTGCCCGCATGTGAAATAAAAATAAAACAATAAGCTAACCTGAAGGTAGTTTTCCATATAGTGCTCGAAGAATGACCAGGCCTTTCTTTTTCTCCTCATCAGACCTGATCCTTGAGTATGTTTCTCTCATCAGTTCAACAGTTGCTCGAGCTTGCCGTTGCATTTCCTGTAACCTGTGGCAAGTACAAATGTATTTCTAACATAATACATATTTTCCACACAAATTATATATATACCTACATTTTTATCATTATATACATGTTTAGTTTATTTTTATATAAATAAATAAAATACTTACCCCCGGTTTCCGAAAGGCCGATCAATGTTAAATTCAATTTAATCTCTTGTCAAGTCATCTGATTGGTTGACTGAATTATCAACAACCAATCAGATGACTTGACAAGAGATTTAACAGGAGATTAGTTAATTTTAGCGTTGACAAGCCTATCAGAAACCGGGTGCTAGTATTGTTTTTTAAAAGTAAGCAAGTTTACGAATGCGACTTCTCCATCAGCATTTCAACAAGATTGGCCTTAGAATGGGCCACAAGGTTGGTCACAAGTTGCCATGGTTCCGGTACCATTCTTAGTGGCTCAGTAGGGACAAATATTAGCGCGAAGTCATTTTCATCACGAAATTCTATCATCATTGGTATTTTTTATTCAAAGTAATTCTCGTATGAAGGGGATTTTCTGCCAGTCTAACACTAATAATATTTTGCCCAACAAGATACACCAAAAGCATAAGACCCAAATTAGAGACCTAAATGAGATTTAGAAAAAACAAATTATAATAATAATAAATTACCTTTCGAAATTAGCCTCCATAGATCGCTGCCTCTCACGCTCCTGTCTTTCTCTAGCAATGGGGTCGAGAATGATCTTCTTTAGGACCAGCCATGACACCAGAGGGACGACCGTCGCGTAGAACACAGGCGATGGCATCACCTCCTCACAAAGGTGGATTGGTACTACAATGGTTTGTGATGAACATGTCCACCTAGAAATGTAAGAATTTATTGATGAATTACAATTATTCAGAAAAGGCGAAGGGCGAAAACGTGGCGCAAGCGCAGCGCAGGCGAAAACGGGTGAGAAACGCAACTAAGATTTTTATTTGTTTTATTTTATCTTCAGCAATTAATTGCTTCAATATTCATAGCGTAGTCGAGAGACCGATTTTTTTTTAATAATATATCATAAATAAGTTCTTTGGAAACGTCAAAAAGAGCCTTTGAAGAACCATCATCGTGAATAACGTAGTAGCAAAATCGGGTCTCCTGGTGCTGTTTGTAAAGCTCAGTACCGTTAGGTGATTTTTTTTTTGACTGGAGCCTTCTCTTTTCTCAGAAGGTCCAGGAACACCAACTTGGTCAGGTATAAGTAAATTACTTGAGGCAGAGGGGTTGATAAGAGAGCACTGCATTCACATTTAATACTTGATAGAGATAAAAAACGATGGGATTTCGTCGTTTCAATACGGAGTTTCTAGACCACCACTTTCTCAACTATCTCCAGACCAAGCCTTGGTCCCGGCCTTAGTCGAGGCCATGGTGCGGAGTGAGAGGAACTGGGACGCCGTCTCCTCCTTTTGTGACGCAGTCATGCTCGCAAAGAGAGAGGCGGCCCGCGTGAGGGAGCAATCCTCCTCCTCACGCCCCAGCAGCCGCAACTGGCGACACTACGGGCGTCAGGGATCGAGGGACGATCTCCGGCCACCGTAAGTACGGGCCTGCGGTCGGCGAGTAAGGGCAGCTCGCCGCCCGACCAGAACCAGGCCCGAGCGTACGGCGCGTAGCGTTCCGCGCGCGACTCAAAGAGCCATTCGACCACCACAGACGGGGCCCTAAAGGGCTGATGTTCAGCCGGGGTTGCGGGGTAAGCGCAATGAGGTACCGCGACCTCGGCACAGAGCAGGAGAAGGAACAGGGGGGTTTTTAGTCAGTAAGAGTCTGACACTCCCTCCTGCCCGGCCCTGGGCGGGAGAAGTCATTTGATGATTTTCCCCTCACAAAAAAAAAAAGACCAAGACTTGGTAACCTTACCAGGGCTTGGTATTCGGAACAAAATCACCCGTGATAAGCCAGAGCGCAGATCCACGCGAGACACAATGTGTTTTCTATTGTTTGTCATATACCGGCAGACAAAAGGTTACTCCAGCCTTATTAATATTTGGAATGTCACAACATAGGTGGTATGGTCTAACATGGGTATATATAACATACCAGTGGTCGCCCGCGGCTCCACCCGCGTGTAGGTATGTCGATTTTACACTTTTTCAAGATCCCGCTTTTCTGTTAGATTTTTTTTTTCTGAATTTTCTTTGCGAACGAATGCAAAAACCGTGGAAATCGGTTCAGGCATTCTGGAGTTACGTATAGCGACTTATTTTTATATAGTAGATGACTACACATTTCGTACTTCAATTTAAGCATTACTCCGCTTGGAACTCCTAGCATGACGGCCGCTGACACGCTGCTGTTCTGGGACACTTTTTTCTCAGCACCATATTCAGCTATAGCGCCAAACGTGCCAAACCTGGAAACAAAAAGTATCTTTTGAACGAAACTTATATGATATAATAATGCAGCAGCCGCAACTCCGACGCATAGCAACTGTGAACCTTAAATTTATTCATATGAAGTGCTTTTTATCAAATTGATATCTATTTAACAGCAAACATTACAGTTTCATGTATTAAGTATATGGTTTTGAAACATAATAGCATGTTGCATAATTAAGTATCATTCGCAATAGGCTTAGCAATATTTAGAACAAGCAAATCCATAAATCGATTACTGGGTGCAGTACAGCTGATTTTACCAATGAGCCTACAAGATTGCGCTGCTGTTGGTTTAAATTGTAAAACATGTAACAACTTCTTTTAGATTAACGTTCGTTAACAAATCGCTTAGCCCTTAATAAACAAAAATTCCAGGATTGCAGCGGCTCGAAGTGGGAGAGTGAAAATGTTGGTTTTTAGTCCACTACACTTTACACTCGTAAAGGTACATTGAAATATTAATTAATGATATCTCAGATTTCTCTATTGTTACGACTACTATAAATTAGCAAAAAAAGGTGAATGGTAGTGCCCAAGCCAAGTATCGAGCAAAACGAGCATGCCCGTACCATTCTTTTTTCGAAGCGTTTCGCGTCTATTCCGTTAGATTTTCCGCAAGCACAATACAGTATTAAGACTGAAGAATAAAGGGTATATGATGGATGAAAAAAAAAACAGCATCATATTGCATTACATATAATATGAACATATTAATTGAAATTGCAAATTATTTAAACATTCGCAAATAAAAACTTTTTGCCAACAGGTATCTGTATGCATAAGCCAGCCAAACTATATAGTATTTATTATATTTTTGTTTATGGTATAGTAGAAAATTATTCTATCCACACTTACTTTTCCTGTGGGTATTATAGGAATCTGGGGGACCACATATGGGCAGCAGTGCTCGCTGATAATTCTAATTGTTTGAACGACAATTTTGAATCGTCTAACCAAGCGTGAAGATTATAGCAAACACTTCTTTTATTGTAAAAACCCCTCACTTTATATTGTCCAATACTGGACTATTATATATAATTAAATCAAGTTTTTACTTACTTCAAAGCCAGCCTGAGTTTCATGTCATGTTGGGGCAGTTTTCTCATGATGTTGAATGTTATGAAGGAGTGAGGAGTTCCGATCTGTAGCGCCGTGTTTGTGTGGTACTTCTCAGAGTCTCGCACATAAATGGAAGTCATAGAAGATCCACCCTGTCCGCCAGCGCGATACGTCAGGTAACCCACTGAGTGAGCGTCCAGTTGCACGGCTAAGGCTGAAATAAATAAAGCAAACATATTATACACCAGAAATGTTATAATGTTTTAAAAAGAAATGTATTTGTTTTCAAATGTCCCAGCTAATAATTAAAAACCACGAAAGAGTAAACAATCTGTTGTATTTATGATTTGTGACAAATAATACAATACAATCATACACTCCAAAGCGCTGAAGATAAAAACTAAAAATTAAATTGCTTTGTACTGAAATTTGTTACAAAAGAAACGTTTTAGGCTGGCACTTACTAGATACAAGACTTGGTGAAATGCCTCTTGGTGTGAATTGCAAAACAGTCCCGCAGTTCAAGAACATCAGTCGCGACAGAGTCCTGAATATTTTGAAGCCGAGGAGAGGTCCATTTCCTATACCACACTCCACTTCAGTCCATCCCTTCTCAGAACTCAGGTTACGATTACAAATATTCACTGAACCCGTACCTATAAAAAAAGAACGTATTTTATTGTACAGTAAAATTATTATGAGATAAATCACTTAATAGGGAAAAAGCTAATCTTTGTAATTCAATTCACTTAGATGTTAATACACACTACTTGACTAGGAAAATGTTATATTCATTATTTACCAATCCCATTCTGTGTTGATATGTTTCCTGATAGAGTCATAGTGTTTCTTAGTGTCACTGGTGCATCAATTGACTGTTGTATAGTCATTCCAGACACCTCAATATTTGGTAAAATATTTGAATCCTCCCTACAATGGATAAATGTTCAGTCATATGATTGAAAACCATTTTTAGCAATATAATTTGAGATCTCCAGCTGATTAAAAAGAACAAATACCTAAATAAGAAAAGAAAAGTTTTTATTACTCTATGCAAACTATAGAAAAGTAAAGTATTTATAATTTGAAAGAAAATAAAGTAAATTTTAAATCATCATATTGAAACCACTGTTAATAGATAAGACAGGAAAATTAAAACAATGCTGAGTCTAACTACAATACTTTTATATCAACCAATAAAAAAAAAACGAAAAAAAAAACAAGCAGTACTCACAAAATTTCATACTCATCGTAATATTTCATAAACATATCCGTAGCATTTACAGACAATGTGATTGTCCCACGAGGGTTGGCGCTCTGCTGAAGCCTTCGTTCCTCCCTTTCACGTTTCAACCTGAAAACAATAAAGGCTAAATTCAGAATCAACTGTCAAAAAAATTTATGAAAATCACTACAAATCCATGGAGAGCTAAGATTGAAAAATAAAGATTTTTTCGTATCGTAATGTTTCTGTGTGAGTGTGTGTGATAGTATGTGTGATAGAATTAATAGGTACAATATTACTAAAATCCATAAAAATGCCAAGCCAAGATCCATAAAAAAAATTACCTTTCATATTCCTCTCTGATTTCCCTAGGTGTGCGAGTACGAAATATTACTTCCCAACCCTCCACCTCCAAACCACGCTTACCTAGAAAGTGTAAAGGGTTTCACTTAATAAACATATATTTAAAGGAAAGGCTTTGGCTACTTTGTCATCTGGTGATAATTAATTATGGTGGTCCAAGTTTTATTAACAGAGTAACAAATCTTACCTAATGTATCATAAATGGCCCTCTTATGTGAATCTGAAAGCACTTCATAAGCCTCTTTGACCTTGTTGAATATTTGTTCTGCCCATTTCTGTTTGTTTGGATCAGTACTGTGTTTATCAGGATGGAACATACGTGAGAAACGTCGATATGCACTGTTTATTTCCTCTAATGTTGCCTGAAATATTAAATGCACAAACATTATTATGCTAATACCATTGGTAGTATCTATTTATTGTTATAGGAAACGGAAATATACATTGTTTAATCCAGAGACAAAAGTGTATTTTATTACATATTATTTCAAAGATAAAAACAGGTTCAGAAAAGAATATTAAAGTAAAAAATAAGTACACAGTATTTGATAAAAAAAATAACACAACAAATTATGTACACATTTTGTATAAAGTGGTACCTCCATAAAAGTGGTAAGAGTTCAAATCAAAACTTAATATCTTTTCTATGAGAAACGCCTTGAGAAAGAATTAAAGGGTCATTTACTCACGCTCACAAAAAGGTCAGAGGGTCTTATGGCATAATGTTAGTCCTGAAGTTTACATTAATGTATAATTATTATTCTCTTGAATTAAAATGTAAAAACTTTACCTAATACTTTGCATAATATTACCAAATGCTTTGCCTATCTAAATGGCTTCACACATTAGTTTGTACAAAAAAAAACATTTTAAAATTTCAGAATCACTGTTATGGAATCCCACAGACAAAATTATGCTTTTCAAATTTTATTCAGATACCAAATTTATGAATGTTTAACACCAACATTGGAAGAAAACCTGAATTCAGTCAATGATGTAAATAATCAGCAATATTATATCTAAACACAATTCCTAAGATTTTCTTATTTTCAGTGTACTTAAAATTTTCAGACATAGCTAGACAATCTTGCATCAGTGTTGTATCAAAAATATATTGTCCTACAAAAATGTAAACAGCAACAGGCCCTTTAAGTGAAACACTGACTGTTTATGCAAGCAATTGATCTCAATTGGTATGACTTACTCGAGTTAACTTTTATTGACACAAGTAAGAAGGAAAAAAGTTTGTATCAGAGAAAATTACTTTTTATTTTAAGCACAGTTTCCTGCACTTCTGAGAACATTACTTTTTGATATGTTAAATATCTGCTTATATCTGCTTTGCAACATAATTATTGAATAATTTGACCATCAGGTTCATCAGTCATTTGCTATGACCTAACATCACTAATAAAATAAGCAGTTCGAAATGGAAATATATTTTTCATTTTGCAGGATGACTTATGTTTTATTGTATCAATCAATTAATTAGATACAAATCTAAATACACACTTTTAATAAAACAAATCAATTTTCAAATCAATATATTATTTTAAATATTATCTTGTCCTAATAATATATCCAAAGAAATATTTTCACATTTATATGACAGAGGACAGTGGAAGTGTAACACAGAGGTTCATCTGTGTTAAACATTAGATCACACTATCAATAAAGAATAGAGTTTGAATACAGTAAAATAGAGGTTTCAAACAAATAATAAAACAATTGATGTTGATGTATATAAGCAGGTAGATAATGGAATAGGAAATAAAAGGACTTAAAAGAGTAGGAAATAGAAACTAATGATATCTATGTCACATTTTGAGTTTATTAAGCAGACATTGCTTTCATATCTCTCCATGCAACTAGAGATAAGAGATGAATATAGTAAAATAAATGCTACATGCATCTCATGAAAAGACTAAATATTGCATCATCTTAGACAGTTATTACAATGGAAATCAGAATAATTGCCTCATGATATCTAGGCAAATAATTGTATTAAGCAATTAATTGTAATAAACATTATATTTATCAAAAAAATAACTCGATAAAGAGTACGTCTCGACACCAGGGTGCACTGATCCTAACCTCAAAATAATACTTAAAGGAACTACATCCATAAATGTGAAGTGTTAAATAGTACAAGATTCTATCTTTAACGTAATTTAGATTATATATTCAACGACAAAATGATTGATTTGTGTAGTTATATAATATTGATAATACAAAATTGTAGAAAAGAATGGCTAAAATGCATGTGATTTATATTTACCGTCTTTGAAACATTCAGTAATTGATAGTAATTATCCTCGAGCAAAATATTATCGCCTTCTTCATCCATTTTCTGCAGTAAAAATATATAATTTTAGTAAAAAACCAACAATTCGTCCCTCCAATGATAGGTGTTACTTTGCCGCTGCAATGACAGTACGAGGGCGCCACTTAAGCTGACAGTGAGCACAGATAATGTAGATAAAAATCTGCTAACGGCCAGTACACATTCAGTATTATAGCTATTACAGCCAAAACTTGCCAAACAGAACAAAAACGTTAGCTTTTTGGCTTGCAAGTTGTCATAATATAACTTACAGACCAAAAAGTTAAGGTTATTGATTTATGATATTTTGTCTAATAATTTTTATCTACACAGTAACTAACATAAACTCGAAAAAAGTCTTCATGCAAGCCATTGCTTTTGAAGACTTTTAACGCGAGATAACGCGGAATTTTATGATACATTTTGTTTACATATGTGGGTATTTCTTTACTGTAAACATTGTTCAAAGTGTGAACAATACTTATACTCTATGGATTCTCTACGTCGATTTTGATGCCGAGACGTCACTGGTGCAATCATAGACAAACCTTCAAACAATTCTAATCTGTGATGTACTCTCTCTCCCGTTAAAAAATGTGGAATAAATTGAATAAATTTCTCATTATTGTTCCGTTAATTGTTGTTACAAATGTAGAATATTAAATTCGTGAAATATTTGTTGAAGTGGTATCAGTCATCATTTTATTAAAATCGAGGTAAAAATGTTTGTCTACGTTGTTATTTTTATTAGTTTTAATTAACATACGATTTTCTAACTGTAAAAAAACTGGTGTTTTGGTTTGTCGATTGCTTAGAAAGTGATAAATTATTTTTCTAAATTACTATAACAGCATTCTTCGTTGAAGACTTTTATGGTAATCGCAAAATGTGTAGGTGGTCTAGTTGTTTTGGGATTGTTGTACTAAAATGGCTGTTTCGAAATTTGAATCATTGCGGCGAAACTGTATGGTGATGAATACTTTAAAGTAAATTGAGGTTGTCAAAGTTTTCACTTAGTGGTATGTGCTAGCTATGTCAGAGATGCACCAATAATTTTCACTAAGCAACACATCAGGCTTTCCCCTTGCAGGAGCATAAATTACGCACACATTCAAACTGGAATCTGTGTGAAAGTATCGTATTTTTAAATAATCTAGTATCCAAAACTTAACTCTCACAAATTTTTGTAATAAGAAATGTAGCTCAAATCTCATATATGGTAGAATGTTTTGGTATAGGTACCAAGAATAAAATACATATACAATATTTCTTATTGATATTAATGTTGTGCTGTGTACTTATTATTAGTAACAATACAAAATAGTTGTAATAATTCATAAAAATGAATGGTGTCTGATATAGTAACTCAAACAAAATATTATTTTTTTAAACAGGCACAATTGCTATTGTGTTTTTTTAATAGGCTCAATTTCTATTGACTCATTCACAACTATAATTTGTGTTAAATGTGTGTACTAGTGGAATTTTAGTTTATTGAATCAGTTGTTATGGATATACCCAGCTACCAGAAGCAAATCCTTATCAAGAACTGATAAATGTCTTTTCATCTTTTGAAGCTCAGATTAGATAACTGAGATCCAAATTAGTCCAGTAGAATAGATATTTAACTAGCAAATACATGTCCTATGCCATAGAAAATAATACAAGGTTTTAATAAATTGTTTGACAGTGGGCAAGGGCAGTTTAAAAATAGTATCCAATATAGTGTTCAATTATTGGTACCTTCCTAGAATTACAAACAACTATGTACAGAAAGCGGAGTAAGGCAGGTCTGTTCTTATTTTTCTACTTGCACTCATTAATAAAATATATTGCATTAGTCTCATTTGTCATGGGTTGCATACTAATGTAGTGTAGGAATACAATTATCAATCAATACATTGAATGGTTAATAAATATTAGGTCAAAGAAATTGGGTTCAAATTAGTAAAATTATCACATTCATATCCTGTTAGAATTCAATCCATAAGTGTAGTCTACCATTCAGAGCTTAACTTACTTGACTCTTTAATTGGTTGTTCTTTGTATCAAATGGGAGAACAGTTTTAAATCTAGAGCATATTATTAAAGAAATAGTAAAATGAATAAATGTACACATTTTATCTTGCACTTGCCATGTGAGATCATTGTTACCTTGGCAAAATGTTAAAATATTTTCTGAACTACTTATTTAAGTATCCGAAGAATAAAATGAAAGGAAAATTATATGTTTAATAACTGTACTGTATAATACAATAAACACTGTAGTTTTTGTGAAAGAAAATAGTGTTTTTTTTTAATATTGCTAATATTTTTAGGACACATCTCATTATCTTACAAAGATTTTCCATTGTTCTATAGCTTTACAAACATCTTTACCATGCATGTTTAAATACTTAAAAATTTCTCCACATTGTCTTATTCAAATACAAGCCAAAACAAGTTAAAGTATTACCAAACATTCTCTCATAATTTTCTATTCATTAATAGTATTTTCTTGTAAAATGCTTGCTTTTGTCATATAAAATACATAACATAAATAATGTTCAATGAAATATTTCATTAATTTATAATCATGGTAGCCTAGCAAGTTAGTTGGTTTTGTCATTTACCAAACAAACAAATTTAAAAATCACCAGTAAATTAATAAAAAACAATGGTATACTCAAACTAGTATAGATTTTTTAAACTTTTCCTTAATGTCTCGAAATTGGTTTTAAATGTTAACAAAAGCTATTATATAATTTGATTTTATTGTTTTGTAACTACCAGTAGTTACCAAATTTTTCTTCAATAAAGTAAACTACCTATCTTTTTGTTCCAGATATTAGGCATTTGGTTATTAAAATGCCGTCAACCCACCTAAACCTACGCGAGGATGACGTAGTCCGGCTGGCCCTAGAGTTTCTACACAATCGCGACTTGCACATTACACAACTATCACTAGAGCGTGAAACCGGTGTAATCAATGGCAATTTCGCTGATGACGTATTGTTCCTACGTCAACTTATCCTAGACGGACAATGGGATGACGTGCTAGAGTTTATTCAACCACTTAGCGCTCTCAAAGCTTTTGAAGCGGACAAGTTTAATTACGCTATTCTAAGGCATAAGTATATAGAGTTGTTATGTATAAGATCTGAAATTAAAGCTTATAATAATGTTGAAAATATAGTGGATGAAGTTGTAAAGGTCCTTAGTGATTTAGAGAAGCTAGCTCCCTCGAAAGAAGAATACTCAAATCTATGTTTATTGTTGACCCTACCCAGTATTACTGACCATGCCCAGTTCAAGAAGTGGAACCCTAGCAATGCTCGCGTCCAGTGCTTTAGAGAGGTATATCCTCTCGTTGAACAATTCCTGCCTTGCGATAAAAAGTCGGGTGGCTTAGTGTCTAAATGCGCGAAAAATGACCGATTAATGCAATTGCTCATAAAGGGTATTCTGTATGAGTCATGTGTTAACTACTGCCAGGCCAAAGCTACGGGGTCCAAGGAGGCACAATCTAATGAAGTTAATTTTTCAAGATTATTAGATGGTTCTGGGTTTGATGAATCAGATCTGAGTTTACTATCATGGCTACAGTCTATCCCTGCCGAGACATTTAGTGTTCCGTTTGAACAGAGAATGTTGAATGTAGATGTGGAAAAGTTAGAGCGCCCATCTTTACACACTTCTTGGACGGAGCACATGCTAGTTACGCCCATAAAACCGCGCACGTTCCCTCATTTGGCGATGCCATTTAGGCGACCACGGTCGGCCGCCGATGCTATGACGAGATCATTGCGTCCGCTTCCGGACGGTGCTCCCCGGCACCCAGCTGTAATGGCTCTCTCGGCAATTGATTACGGCCCTTCGTCTTCATGCTTTGCTGGATTTCATTTAACTGGAATTAAGGGCAGTAGATTGATGAACACTTCTGTTGATAGATTATTTGACAGTAAAAATGCTGAGAGTATTTTTAACGGGCTAAACGAATCTCTGAAAACAATCGATGAAACATTAAAACCCATCGGCGAATATACAGGCTCTTCGAAAACGAACGACAGTAGTGTCGGCGCATCTAACGCCACTACTCCCGAGCACAGGGGGCAAGATTACTCAGCCTCTACGTCGATATCAAACACGGCAGCGTCGACAGAACGCTCATCACTCGCGGAGCGCACGCCGCAGCAAGCTGAAGCGGCAATGCTGCCCGGCGCCGATGGTGATTTTAGAAGGGAACTACTAAAAGAATACCAAATTCAGAAACAACGCGAGTGCGATGATTATCTTCGTAATCTTTGCTCTTCAGACTTGAGGCAACAGAAAATGTAAATATATTTAAACTCGATTAGATGAAACCAGTTATTTTAATGATTCTTTCGAATAACTTATACATTTACTTTCTTTTACTTTCAGGGTGGAACAAATAGAAGATGTTGCATCAGCTTTTCCGTCAGCTGTCAAGAATCCACAACAGATAATTGCAGATAAAAATCGTGAGCAGTCGCCTTTTATCAGGTAATGTCTTACATAATTTTAAGCCGCTTAATTCATTGCTAACCGTACTTAATCAATTGCTTATAAATAATTAAGTATTTATCTTAATTCGTTTAGAAAAATATGCGAAAACTCGCTTATCTACAAAAAGATATGAACGTAATTGATAGCAGATGATTACTAGTATGCATGTACATGCACGAAGAAGCATACAGTAACGATTTTTCTTACGGAGTGCTGTACTTTCATCGGTAGAGCGAGCAAGCAATTTGTTCTGAGTGTTTGGTCGCCAACTGCTCTTGAGCTGTTTTCTCTAACGAGCCGATAAATTACAATGTAATATGTAAAGTGGTTTGGTGTTGTTATCCGTTTGAATTGAAAACAGTGCATGAAAACCAAAACCTAGGATGTGCATCGTTGTGTGACAGACATTTCTCAACTCGTGAATTTCTCATGTTCCAGGAAAAACGACACTATCGAAGCGCCGGAGATGGGGGACACGAAAAACGTAAGATTTTTTTATTTATAAAATATACTTTGACTTTATTTTGTGTTTAGCCTTGGCCATTGTTTTAACTAATTTTACGATCTTCATAACAAATTTTGCTGTATACCTAAGCGAAATGATGATGTTATCAAAAGTAAAGCTACTTACTGAATATTGAAAACCTGCTTGTATAAAGTTACAAAATAATACTACTAGAATTTTTACAATATACAGTG